TAGTTCAGAGCAGCAAAAAGCACAGATGTACCATTATCTTTGAGGTTCACATTCCTATACCCAGCAATCCCATTAAGGCATTAGGTTAGGAGAGCTCTTTATACCAGGGATTATAACATCATGGGACTCTAGGATCCAAGCAAGTAACATGAAGGAGCAAAGTGGACCAAGACATGTTGTGACATCACACGTTCTTCAGCTGTTCCTCCATTTTCATTATATAAAATCTTACATATAAAATTATATAAAATCTTATATAATAAAATCTTATATAAATTCTGTCTTTGGAAGAAATTACTCATGCCAATCCTAGGAAGAAGGAAGCCTCTGCCCTTCAGGACATAAGTCTAAGCTGATACTTCAAAATGTGACAACAGAATTCTCTGACCCAGTTTTAACAAAGGATTTTATTTTGTTCCCTAAAAAGTAAAATCTAGAAAATAGCAACTCACTGCAAGAGTTCTATAATAAAACATTTTCAACCATTCTCTCTTCTCTTCACATGGTGTACCCTTTCATGTACATATCATCGGAAAGCAGACTGATAAATGCAAACTCTTTGTGAAAGGCACATGGCACTAGCATTCCTCACACCTGCTACACATCCTTGGAAGCCAAGGGAAGCCTTTTCTGCAATCTCCCCATTTTGATAGAAACTTATCACACATTTTTATAGCAAAATATTTAAAGGTCTCTTCCCCTGCTCTTCACTTATCTACTAGAAAGGTACAGAATTAAAAAGCTTTTTTCCCCGAGTTGTGATCAAAACATATTAAAAGAATATTAAAGCACATCTGGGTTATTCTAGAAGTTCCTGGGTTTTATACTTGGATATTTACAGAGGAAGCTGAACCTCAAGTTCTGCCACTCTTCAAAATGGGTGACAGAAGAGAGGACGTGATAGGATAGTTAAAAAAAAAATTGATAGTCATTCTCTGATGCAGAGTGAAGCAAGCTTTCTCAACCATCAACCAATATGACCTCATTGGTCACAAACCCTGCAGAGATCCAACAAGATTTGAGTTTTAAATACAGAAAATATTTCAAACAGAACCAGTAGAGTGCTGATGTATGAATGGAATTGGTTGCTGGTGAAGGCAGAGAGTAAAGAATCCCAAGAAACTTTTAGTGCCATTTTCATTTAATAAGCCATTGGTATAGCAACCTAAAAACCTTGGCTGTGATGACACCAGGATGTGTTTATGGAATTGCTGCAGGAAAACATGATTGGCAGCGGACATCCTCTGGCTCACAGCACTAACTTCTCCAAGAGAATTAAGGCTGGGGTGTGTAGCGGAGATATTTCTTGCCAGATGGGAGCTCTTTGGTGAAGACTCCTTTCGGGAAAAGTTTTTTGGCTTCTTCTTCAGGGATGGTTGGAAGGACCATCACACTATCCCCATCCTATTGAAAGACATTGAGAATGGTGAAATTCAATCTCATAGTGAAGCTTCAAGGCCTTCATGAATTAACTTTAGAAAAGTAGCCACAGGTGCTAATGAGACTAATCAAGTGTTCTTCACTCTTCCCCTCTTTGAGAATTTTGTTTTCCAAGTTGATCTTTGGCACTTTTGGTGGGAAAGTAGTTACCCCATATTAACAAGAAACAGCCCTGTTTTAAACCCAGTAACAGCCGGCCACCACACTTTACATTTAATTCTAAGTGAGTATCATGGCCTGCAAGCCCTGTGTGATTGAATCCTGCCTCCTCTCGTCTCTTGTCCCTCACCCCACTTTTTGCGGCTTCCGCTCCAGGCATGCTAGCTTTCCTTGTATTCCTCCAACATGCCAAGCTCATTTGTAGGCCCAGCTTCTTGCACTAACTGCTCCTTCTGCCTGTAGTGCTCGTCCCTCACAAATACATATGCCTTGGTCACATCTTCTCTGTGTCTTTCTTCCCAAAAGTCCCTTCAGAGACAGGCATTCCTTGACAGTCACTCTCCCACCCCTGTACTGTTATTCTCCCCATCTGTGCTTGATTCTTCCCTGTAGCACCTGCTATTACCACTTAATAAACTTGTTTACTGCTTGTCTCCACTCACTGGAATGGAAGTTCTATGAGGGCAAGGACCTTCTATTGTTCACTGTTATCCCCCCAGTTCACTACTATCTGCGCTCAATAAGTACATAAATAAGTAATATTAAATTAACTAGTGGATACAGAATTTAAGTGATTTGTCTGTCAGAAAAAACCAAAACAAAACCTGGTATTCAGGTTAGCATTATTTTAAAAATGTAGCAATGTTAAGATACTCTTGTGATGTTATCCATGTCTTAAAGATTAAAAGTGTATGAACAAATTTTGGAGAATTCTAGCACAGGTTTAAAAGAATGAAGCTTAAGAGAAATGAAATACTTAATGACATTAATACACCAGTATTTTTATATCCATGACTTAACAGAAATGGTAAATCAAGATTGTGTGATAAATACTGTGCCATCAGGGAAGGGTTAGATAAAAGTGTGTGTGTGTGTTTTTTAAACCTTCTATTAGGAAAAGGAATCATTCTGACCAATAATTTTTCCAAATTATCTAAAAGTCAGAAAGCCATATAGAGTTTGTGTTGTACATAAAAGGTGTTAGTTATAAGACCTTGAAAATGGCCTGTGAGCAAATCTTGAACTCAGTCATGAGGAAAAATCCTCCCAGTGTACTTGCGTGCTAGAAACAGAGATCCAGGTAACACAGACCTTGAAGTTGGCCCTTTAGAGACTGGCCCTTCAGGCAAGTACAGAAACTGCTTTTTTTTAAAAAACATCTTTACCTTCCAATCAACTGGGGTGGCAACCCTTTTTTCTGCTGTCAGCTGGAGAGAGATGACTACCCTGAGAATCTCATCAAAGTTCCTGCCAGTGGTAGCTGGGTAGAGGATAGACAGCTTCAGCTTCTTATCAGGACCAAAAACAAACACCTGCAAAGCACAGAAAGGCATAAATAGGAAGAGTTCTTTGAGTGTTTTTGATATTAAAGCCACTTAGAAAGCTCTGCAGTCATTAATAATTTTCAAGGGTATAAAAACAAGACAAAAACAAAGCACCAAAAGGATACACCAACTGCTAATGTGGATGGCTGGAATACAGGTAATTTTCTTCTCTCTGTTATTTTCTAAACTTAGAAGGGAATTCCATTTGGTTCTGGCTATCCCAGTAAGAAAAACTGATATGCAAATTTAATCCAGGAAAGGCTATGTCCACTGGGGATGACTATCATAAAAATAATACTAATGGGAGTTGATATTGTTCCTTGAATAGTTGTGCATTTATTCAGATGAGGGATCGGGTTTGTTCTCTAGTGGCCAGAGGACAGAACAAATACAAATTTAAAAACAGAGCTGCCTTATGAAGAAGGATATGGCCAATCACTTTAAAGACAGGGTGGTCAGGAGAGCTATGAAAAGGTTTCTCAATTCTGGAGGACATTTTAGGATAAACAACTTTTTTTTTTTTTTGTAGATTTCCATGAACTATGAATTAAGCAGTTGAAAAATTTAGTTGAAAATTTCAGCCACTTTGCATCAGCATTACAGATAATCAGTGATACTGTTGCCAATACACAGTTATTTCATAATTGTAGATACTCCCCTATCTCCTCTAGCTGGTACGAGCATTTACATGGACATACAGCCTGATCAGTTATGCTGACTACAAAATGAATTTGTATGACCTACCACACGAGCTGTCACAGGCATGCCCTTTTCATCCTTCTCTGCTGGATCCAGCATGCCCAACAGGATGGCAAGGTCCCGATTCTTATCATCGATGATGGGAAAAGGTAACTTTTCTGTGGGCTCTTCACAGTTGTAAGCATTGATATCCTGAAACACAAGTAAAAGGGGAAAGAGGAATCTAAACTTAACACATGCTCTGAATTTCATCAGTTAACAGCCATCACCTTGCAAGACAGGAAAGAGGACCAAATCACAGTAATTTTCTTTAAGCAATTTTAATTTTAAAAAGTGAGTAAATCAACACTTTTCATTCCAATTATTGCCAGGAATAACAACAGAGTACAGTACTTAGGTTGTAATCATGGACCAAAGCCATTTTCATGCCCAGTTCTCTTTAAATTCAGCATGCTTCCACTGCCATGAGAAAACAGCAGCAACCCCTTTAACATTGCAATAATTTAGTTACATCCAAATACAAGGCACCTCTGGATACCCAAATACTGTAAAAACCATCAGATACAACAGGTTTGTTAAATCCATCACATCTAGAAATAATACCATATGTAAAGAAAATCTTATAGCTCTGGTCCCTGCCTCAAAAGCACCCTGACTCAGATGTTAAGTTACAAGACAAATAGTAAGAAATGACAAAAAACAAACAAACAAAAAATCACAAAACAAAGCAAACACAAGAATGGAGAGTTGAATATATACTTGAAGGACAAGTCAAAAATAAATGGGTGAAAAGGCAGAGGTAAACCTAAACTAGGGTGAAATGCAAACAGAAAACAAAGCATTTCAAGTCTGAACTAAGGAAAAATGATATGCCTCCCTCCTTCCCTAGTAAAACTTTATTCATCCATTTATTTCTACTTTTTCTATCCCTGGAAGCTTTTGGAGAAAAAAAAATTTAGTTTTGTTATTTGATTAAGCATTGATATAGCACTTAAGGTGGGCTAAGCATTATGGTAAGTACATGTGGAATACAGATGAGTAAGACATGGCTCCTGCCTTCAAAGGAACTTCTAATTTGGTTAGAGATGATTCCAGCATGAAGCAGCAGCAAATGCAAGACTAATGTTAAAAGGTGGACGGTAAATGCTGAAGTACTGAACACTCCCATTTGTAGGACTCCAAGAGTTAGAAAAGGCTTCAAGAAAAGAATAGGACTTCTATCTGGGCCCTCGAAGGATGGGTAAGATTTTTCACAGAGAAAAGAAAGGCATTCTAGGGATCAGGAACTACACACACACACACACGTGTGTGTGTGTGTGTGTATATATAAAAAAATTTTTTTTTTTTTGAGACAGAGTCTTGCTGTATCACCCAGGCTGGAGTGCAGTGGTGCAATCTCGGCTTACTGCAACCTCTGCCTCCGAAGTTCAAGCAATTCTCTGCCTCAGCCTCCTGAATAGCTGGGATTACAGGCGCCCGCCACCACACCCGGCTAATTTGTTTTTGGATTTTTAGTAGAAACGGGGTTTCACTATCTTGGCTAGGCTGGTCTTCAACTTCTGACCTTGTGATCCACCTGCCTTGGCCTCCCAAAGCGCTGGGATTATAGGTGTGAGCTAGTGCACTTGTCCAGGAACGATATTAATGAAACATGTGGGCAACTCTGTACATAAACTATTGATAGGAGAGTGAGGAACTTAGTTGGATAGAGTTTAGCAAGTAATGGAAAAAATGATTTAAAATTGGAATCAGGTCTATTATGTGTAGGCTTGAAAGTAAAACAGGAGCTTGATGGCATAGCAGATACAAAACCATTGTGGATTTCTCAACAGAGATGTAACAAATGTGGCATTGATGAGCTCTGAAGTGGATAACAACAAATTCTTATTATTTATTTATTAATTTTTTTGAGGTGGAGTCTTGCTCTGTCGCCCAAGTGGAGTGCAGTGGCACGATCTCAGCTCACTGTAGCCTCCACCTCTTGGGTTCAAGCCATTCTCCTGCCTCAGGCTCCTGGATGACAACACATTCTAACATTCCTTCATTTTATTATCTTAACTTTCTGTTGTCACTGGCTGCCTATTAAGTCACCAGAGCTAAATAATAATTAATATAGTCTCATGCTAGAGGCAGATTATTATATATCAGGTGTATGTCAAAGTTTGGGCACTCCTTCTGGTAGTTCAGACTTTTTTCCTATTCAATGTAATCACAATTGTGAAAACTTCTAAGGCAGAAGCTCAGGGTAATATAAACCTGTGTATGCTTCTATACTTTAAAAGCTATTCTATAATGGGCTACAAACACCTCCTTTGGCAATATGTCACTTTAATTATTGCTATGCACTAATTCTCTACTCTGCCACTTGCATGATGGACACTATATTACACCCATGAACACCAAAGAAAGTATCCTAAATTATTTGGCTTTATTCTATCCTAAATTAGGCTAAATCCTACTTTTTATCATCTTGTATTAAAAAGAACATTGATTTGAGATTCCAATCTCATTGCCATTGGGCAGTCTTGGGCAAGTCCCTCCAAGTTTCTAAGTGAAAAAAGTATTCTCAACTGCAAAAATGAAAATGAAAAATGATAGTGAAAACTACAGTTACCACTCACTGAGAAATGTAAGGAATGAAAAAAATTCTATTTCAACATAGATAACTGCCCTTCTTTTTTCTCCTACACATGATTCTTCTAGTCTCAGATATTTAGGATTAACTAGTGTTAACTGCTATAGGATGCAGCCACAGATCCCTAACTCACAAGTCAATACATCTTTTATTCAACTACACATGCTTGACATAGTTTCTAGTATACATCCCTGAAAAAGTAGTTACCATTATTACTTAACCGCATGTTGTAGTGAAGTCCTTAAAATGTTTTCAAGGTAAATTCAGACCACCAAATTTATTGTTCAAGTAAATTCTTTTGCTAAAAGTAGGTATTTCCTTCAGTTAATTCATTCAACAAATACTGACTGATCACCTAAGATGTACTGAGTAGTGAGCATCGTTCCAGCAGTGCACAAAACAGGAGTCTCTGTTCCTGCTGAGTTTACACTCTACTAGGAAGAAACAAACTAAATAGGTAATATGCAGAGTATTTGAGTGCTGAGGAGGAGGGGATAGTGAATGTGAAAAGGAGTTATCATTTTAGATAATGAGGACAAGAAAGGCTTTGATGAAATGTCCTGTGAGTTGAGACCCAAAAGAGGTGAGGGTAAGTCACACAGATCCCTTGGGAGTCAGTCTTCCATCCATGATACAGGACATATCTTGAAGGTAGAGCTGACAAGTTTGAGGATAAATCAGATGTTATGATGTGAAAAAACATGAAGAATTCAGAATGGCTCCTGGATTTGGGGCGTGAACAATTATAAAAATGCAGTTGCCATTAGCTTAGATGAATAAAACTCTGGATTTAAGAATGAGGCCTAGTTAGACACGCTAGGTTTGAGATGACTGGACATCCCAGGAGAGATGCTAAGTAGGCAGTGGTTACATGAACCTCGAAGCGTCTGGCCTAGAGATGAAAATTTGAGAACCACAGCACATAGATGGTATTTAAAGGCATTTCCAAGGGAAAGAGTACAGACAGAAAAGAGAGGAGGTCCAAGAAATAAGTTCAGGGTAACTTCAGCATAAATTAGGAGTTGGGAGATGAAGAATCAGTGAGCAGGAACAGCTAGGATGTGGTGTCCTAGAAGCCAAGAAAGGAAAACAGTGATCACCTAGGTTGAATGCTGCTGGCAGGCCAAGATGAGGTCTGAGAATTGACTGACCAATGGATTTAGCAATGTGATCACTGTGTGGTTCAACTGAAATTTTCAAATAATCAGTGAACTTTGAACCTAAAGCTTACTTGTACCTTAACCTCAAAAACCAAGGACTCTATAATTTATAACTTGACCTATAATCTCAGGCTCAAAGTTCATGCCAATTGATACTAACCTTGCTCCAGGCAAGATGGTCCTCAACACTGTCTATTGAAAGGGCAATCAACTTAACATTCCTCTTGGCAAATTCTGGTGCCAGCTTTGCAGCTCTGCCAAGCTCTGTGGTGCACACTGGGGTAAAGTCCCGAGGGTGGGAGAAGAGAATGCCCCATCTGAAAGGAAGAAAAACAAGGTCACAGTTGAATGAAGAGTTATCACCAACATCACAGAGAATGAAAAGTCACAACTTCTGAATCAAAAACAGGCTTTCTTTTTTAAATGAATGCTTATGACGATATTTACTTCCAAACTTTTCTGTTGAGGAATGCTTTTCAATCTACTTACCTCTAGAGAAGCCTACGCTTATAGCCCGATTTAATCAAAGATATGAAATTCAAGATGACACATATTTAAAAAGACTAATTTTAAGGTGTTGCTTCCTTTAATAATTATGGTGCCACCCTGACTCCTTTTTGGCTAATAAAATCTGTGCTGTTCAAGCCAAGTAGCTTACTGAAAAAACTTAATTATTTCTTCTTATCCTTTTCTACATTTTTTTCTAGCACAGACCATGACATTCAGCTCCAATAATGGATGTCCCAGTATGCTCTCAATCCAAACAAATGCCTGACTACAATAATAAACAGATTATGTAATCTGAAATAAATAGGTTTCTATCCTCTATTTATATGTAAAAATTGAAGTCGGACACTTGGTTTCTTCGAAGCAAGTGGATACAAAATCTTGTAAAACCACTTTACTGATCTAACCTGCCAAACAGGACGCCCAATATTTATACTCTGACAAAACAGTATCACCTTAACAGTTTTACCTATCTCTTCATTTGCAGTTTTTCTTCTTTCTTCAGACCAAGCAGGTAGAATTTTGATAGCCTACAATGTAGATTTCTACAATAGCAAATTCTTAGGTAAATACTAAGATCTAAGTCATCATTGTCTAAGATTTTATAGATTTTGAGCACGTTTCAAGCGGCCACTAAGAAAGCTGAAGTAACATTTCCTTCTCCTTGGCAACAGAAACTACTCTTTCAACTGAAAAGGAAAATTGAACACTCAGTTCTCCACATCCCCATCAACTTAAACTATCCTAAACCAGATGATTTAGGCAGGATCCTAAACTAGTAGATAACTAAATCTTGCCTAGATGCCAAGCTTACCTTTCCGAAGTTTCCCTGAGTACAGAGAACAAGCAAAGACAAGGGCACCTCCTTCCCACTTACAGCTTCCACTCAACTCCCAAGGTTTCAAGAAGGAAAGGATGGAGGGCCCTATGGCAAGATTGGGAAGAAAGCTAATATATATTTTTTAAGATTGTGGAGGTGTGCACTATGTTCACTTTATTATGAAGGGCAAAAGGAAGAACATAGAGTATATCTTTTGAAGTAGATAATATCACTATGAGTAAAATCTAGGCCTTAGATTCTATGGAAAACAATCTATTTAATGGTTAGATGAGACTTAACAGAAGGTCTCCAAAAGTTGAGAAGAAATGGAACAGGGCGTTTCCTCCTGTATTGTTAAAGGAGGGATGAATTAGAAAAGTTAGGAGTTCTTTTTCCATTGTCAGTCGGCAGAGACTGTTTTGCTGAATCATGCGAAAGGAACTGGTTTTAAGCCAGTTCACGTCCTTCCCTCCCTCAGAAGTGAAACTCCAGTTTACCTCGTGGCTACAAGTAGGATAAACTCCAAGAATGTCTCACCTTGGCCTTCCTTTCCCTCTAGGTCTTCCTACTGCTGCACTTAAGAGTAATTCAGTGACATTCTCCCGTTTTCTTTCTTACCCATTTTCAAAAGACAAAAGGTTTCCTCCTTCAAGAGAATGGTTCCCATTTACTAAGCCCCAGAAAACACATATTTTGCGTAGTGAAGATGTGCTATGAAGAAGCTACTTCTACCACTTACAGAAACAGTGATAAGGTCCAGTAAACTCACCCAATGTAGCACCCAACCTCTTTAGTTGTTTACAATGATCAGGGGTAAGGTAGAGAAAGAAATTTTAATTTTTTCTCCTCAAAAATACCTGGATAAAAAATTGACAGTCTGACTTGGGATCATATACAGAATAGAGTTTGGAAAAATCAGGCAAAAATCCATGTCATAAACATATAAAAGGCTCAAACTTCTCTTCCTGGTAAGGTAGGGAATACTACGCCTGATCCTAGGCAGACTTGTCTATTAGTTAATAAACGCAGATATTTTTATCGTGTTCCTAACTATGGCTGATAAAGTACCACTTTTGATCAAATCTAGATGGATCTAGAGGCTAATAAACATTAACGAAACCCCAAAAAAGTATGGTTAGCTTAAAAAGCGACAACATTTCTAATTGTTGGAACAGTAAATACGTTTTATGCTAATATTTAATCTACACAAGCTAAGAGTTCTGGAAATAGTTTATGTTTCATGGGGGTGAGGACTGCAGCCAGAAATGGGAAGGAACACAACTCTAAAAATCCCAAGGATTACTGGAGAAATACTACTACCTAGATCCTAAGTATAAGACTGGCCATAAGCTGTATTTCTAAAGTATTTTTCTGCGTTCAAGGTTTGAATATTCCATTTTTCAACCTTTTTCTGGCCTAGTCCTATCTTTCACAAAGCTTTTTCCTCTATTCAGTGGCTAGAAAAGGGACGTAAGAGGTTGTAAGGGTCCAGGTAGGCACATGATGTGTAAGAATCTCTCCCTGGTTCTCTGCACAGCCCTGTCCAATCATTGATTAATTTCATAAGCCTCTCTCTTTGTCTCCCTGGATACTGTACATAAAAAGGATATAAACTGGGGAAGAACTGTCGTCAAACCTCGGAGCCTCACAGTGTAGTAGGACCACTAGAACTCCAGAACCATAATATAACTAGACATGCCTGGAATGCTTCTGATGAAAACTAAGCAACTTCCAGTTTGCTAATCCAGGAGCCGCCAAAAAAAAAAAAAAAAATGCCAAAAAAAAAAAAAAAAAAAGGCAACACTGATTCACTACTCCTATTCATAATGGCAAAACTGCCAAGTCAGATCACAGGTCATCAATTTGGCTATCATCAGCAAGCTTATGTGCTGGAAGCAAGGCAGAAAGTGGAGAGGACAGTGAGGCGCAAGCCACTGGGAAACAAAAGAGTCTCAAAGTTGGGGAGTACACGTGTCCTGGAGCCTGGAACGGCCATCACTAGCAAGAATAGGCTACTACAGCTGAACGGCGTCAGAAAGTCCTTCCCTCTAAGCGTTGCAAGTTCTGGAATCTCTGAAGGCACACCTACACAGAGTGTTCTTGGCTCTTCCTAAAGCTGTTATCAAATCATATCTTGGTCATTGAAGGAGGGTCTGGACAAAAAGTCTTTCGGCCACCTATTAGGCAGCTAGTGGTTTTAAATTTCACATTTTGTGCCCAGAAGCCTGCAAATACCCTGCACCCTCAGATAATACGTTGGCCTTCCTGTAACATATAGCCAGCAGCTGTGTCCTCCGACTTTGGCTTCAGACACCCATCCTCCCCAGGGAGCAAATTCCAGAACGGAGGGTGGGAGGGAGGGCGGTGCGACCCTGGGCACTAGACCGGGGAAGTGATCGCCAATGCCGACCCGCCCCTGCGCCCTCGGCCTGACCACGCTACCTGCAGTTTACTAAGACGAGTTCAACGGACAACAAACCCTCCCACGGGCAGTGAGTTTCCAGAACCTGCAGAACCCAATTTTGTCCTCCCCATCCCCCACCTTGGCGTGGCCTTGCCCAGCCACGCCGGAGGCGGGGAGGCCTGGAGGGATCCAGTGGCTCGCGCAGGGCAGGCTGAAGGGGTGCCAG